TGGCTGCTTGGCCGAAGCCTTTGCGTCCTTCTTGGGCGGCTAAAATAATAAAAGTTATTGTTAACAATATGCTTCGCCACGAGGTACGGGTATGAACTGCGGATACAAAATCCTTCCATATATCAGTGTTAGCTATCAATTAATTATAAAATGATAGTAGCATGGGTTATACTTAAAAATACACAGCATTTTTATACAGAATCCCGCTGATACTATTTATTAATAACAAAAAACTACACTGGTACTAAACACTCACCATTTTGAAACCGGAAAGAAAGATGGAGCACCATTTCGTTGTCTATGGTTTGAAAGTGACGTTTATGTTAGCTAGTGTTGGACATGGAAAATTTTCCAATTTGAATAAATCATACTTTTCAGAAAATAAAAATTTCAGTGCTGTAATAATAACATAATATTTATTCTATATTTATACTATGTTTATTTACATATCATAATTCCTCGCCTGATCCTTTTTCACTTTTTCTCCAAGTTTCAAATCCTATTTCCAAATTACATTCCATAATATTATAAAAGTTTCCCTGTTTTAAAAACAAGTAGATAGTCAAAACACTCTGTAAGTGGCTAAAACGCTTACCTCGAAAAGCCAAGACAAATAAGAAAAAAAAAATTTTTTTTTCGGGAACCTTTTTCAATATTTTTCCTTTAATTTTCCACATTTGACGTTAACACCTGTCAAGAGTTGAAGTTACTGAACGAAAACGAAGGAGCAAATAAGAGGCGGTGGTGGTGTGGATGTTGGAGGTTTTAGTTTGTTGACAGTGGACCGTTTTGAGAAGAGTACGTCCATGGAAGTACTGCCACCGTACTTATTTCTTTCGCCAAGCAGGTTTACTGTAATGAAGTCAGTTATCTACTGCATTGTTTTACACTTTTTTGCATCCATAGACATGTTAGACATTATCGACATCGCAAGTACAGTACCTAATTTCTATAAAAACCAAGCGTGTTACATTTCTATTCTGAAGCGTAGCGGCGACAACTAAGTGTATGTAACTTACATTGGGCACGCGAAGTACGCGTAACACTTGCGACGTCTATCTAGACATGTCTGTGATGGCTCTACTAGAATTACTTTAAAATCCAACTTTGATTCTCTAGATGAGTAATTTTGTACTAAGATGCAGTAAAACCATTTCCGGAAATCCGAAATTCGAAAAAGTAATTAATTAAAATTTCGTGGTTTAACAACTCTATGTTACTCCGTGTAGCTGTATATATACATGTATTTATGTATGTGGAACACCTTTTCACACCATTGTTTATAATTCACGCTAAATAAAACTTCAAAAGTTATTTCTAGATGTAGAACATAATATGAGCCTTCGAAAGTATATCTTTCCAATTGTTTGGGAATTTTCCATTATAATTTGCACCAATTGAAGTTTGTCGGAAAATTACCCAACAGTAACGTTACCAGGGAGAAGATATGAGAAACATATTTTTCCGGTTTTATCATGAGTCGAGAACGAGCACGAAACGATTGAAATCAATGATGAAAAAGGATTGAAATAAGTAGTCAAGAGATTGCAGTGGGTTAAAATCTAATCAATCCGCCCGGGTCTTAAACGGTTTTTTTCCCAATGCATTGGGGTTTAATCCATTACTGCCCAAAGTCGTGGGCGGAAACGTCGAATACGGAATTGTGTATAATTACATTATATATGTAAAGCTACAAGTTCTTACACACTGATAGAAATAGATTATACTTCCCGATATGGCAGGAAAAAAATATTTATACCTTTCAAAGCAAAGAATCAAATATGAGAGTATCTGAATATGGAAAATATCAAAGAGTGATCAACGGCCTGCTAAAACTATAATACATGGAGGAAATATTTGTGCATTTTTATGAGGTACACCCTGGTCAATTTCCGCGGGAAGTAAAAAATGTTCGAAATTGAAATAAACAAGATGCCCGCCATACAAATTTCAAAGCCTCTTATCACGGAAACTATTCGAGATAGGTAGGAGGTGCGCGAAGGAATGTCATAGAGAACTGCCTGAATTAAAAAAATTCAAGATGACGATTTCAAAATGGCGGTCGAAGAAAAACTTGCTTCAATCAGGCTGAAAATTGGCATGCGAGTCCTTAATCATAATTTGAGGACAAAATTTTTTTTCGGCTGAAAATAGAGATGTAGAGGCCTCTAACAGTGCCGGATAATAATTTGTGGTCAAAATTGGTTTCTCGCCATTTTCAAATATTGCCGCCATACAAGCGTTTATAAAAATTAGTTCTAATTCAACTGAAAATCGGTATGTGCGAGTCTCTATAGGTGTTTACCGTCAAAATGTATTTTTCGCTAGTTTTGAATATGGCTGCCATACAAACATTTTTAGCGACAGATAAAAATTTGCTGTAGGTAATTCCATTAAACATGGACATGTCGGGGTCTCTATGAGTGTTCAATAATAATTAGCGGTCAAAATTTATTTTTTGCCATTTTTCAATATGGCTGCCATAGAAACATTTTTGGCGGTAGATAATTTTTTTTCTAATTCGACTGAAAATGGCATGGCTTCAATCATAATTGGGGGTAAAAATTTTGTTTCCACCGTTTTTCGGTATAGCCGTAATTTTTTTTGTAAGTGGATGTTGAAAAAACTTGCTTTGCTCGGACTGAAAATTGACAGGAAAAGCTTTTTAAGACTGTTTGATAAAAAATAGTGATCAAAATATATTTTTGCTATTTTAAATATGGCCGCCATTAAAGAGCTATTTCAATTTTTTTAAAACAAAATCATAAGTGCCGAGGCTGCAGGCCGAGGTCCGCGGAGGGCGAAGCCCCAAGGCGTACGCACGCTATCGTATGGAGGTAATTATACGGTGGCGTAATAGATTACGAGTACAAGATCTCACAATTGTAAAAACGTAAGGCATACTTCCCGATGTAGTGGAAATGAGATACTTATTATAGCGCTGTTGTATCTCGACCGTCTCTCTCTTAGATTCCATTTTCTTGAAACGCCAACGAGAAGTATTTAGGGTGAAAAAATGCCAAACTACTGCCGAATTTTCTGTACTATGAATACCAAAAGAACGATAACCCAGAATACTATTGCTATCCAGGAGCTACTTTTAGTCAAATTATTACACTGTTAAGTGATTGCAACTTTGACAAATATACAACAGTGATTCTTATATTAGGTGATAGTACTAACATTAGTAAAAAAGAAGTAAATAGTAGCATTGACGTGTTCTTGAGAATTCATGAGAAGTGTGGGTGTAAATTCATACTAAGTGCATTCCCTTACTGCTCTAACCTAGGCATTGCTCGTAATAAGTATATATAACATAAATTCGCATATTCATAATTTGACTTGCCGTCATAGTGACGTTATATTTTGTTTTGACATTAATAAGTTCGTAAGGAACTTCAAACTTTTTGAGGATAATTTACTTTTACCCCTAAGGTATCTAAGACATATAGCTAGTTTGCTATCTTTTAATATTAAGGACGCTGTTATAGAAGATATAACACAGTCCCACGACAATGCTCCTACTTTAAGTAGCAATCGTATACTTTTTACTAACCATAATTTAAACTGAAAAACACGACAACAGAAAAGTCTAATCGTTTCCATGTAGTACATCAAAATATTCAAGGCTTTTCTGGCAATACATTAGAAATAAGTCTTTTTTGCACGATGTTTCCGTTGACGTGTTTTGTGTTACAGAACACTGGCTGAAAGATTACGAAGCCATTAACAATATAGAAAATTATGTAATAGTCAGTTCGTTCATAAGAAAGAGCTTAAGTAGAGGCGGATCCATGATTATTATTAAGCGTAACTTAAAATTTAAAGAGCGTAAGGATATCACAAATCTTTCTACTGAACGAACTATTGAAATGTCATGTGTGGAATTGGATCAGTTTGTCGTCTTATGCGTATACAGGCCCCCCTCTGCTAATTTTAACGAGTTTGAATTAATTATGGAAGACAGTTTAAAGCGGATTTTTCCAACCAAAAAAAACGTAGTAATATGTGGAGATTTCAATGTAAACCTGTTGGAAAACTGTTCTACTTCTGTAAGACTTATTAATTTATTTCAAAGTTTTAACTTGATTAATCTTTTTTTAGAACCAACTCGCATTACTGCCTCCTCTTCTACTTGTATTGATAACATCTTTTGTAACACAGACGCAGTGTCTAAATCAATAATAAATTGCTTAAGATCCGACCATAGTGGCCAATTGGCTTCTTTTAATTGTAAAATGAGCAAGAAGGTAGACCAATTTCTCTGCAGACCGATTACCACAGAACGAATAATTAGATTTCAAAATAATATCGGCAATAGTTTAAATTCCCTATCCCATATACCGGAGGATCCAAATACTTTATATAACACGATATTTGGTTTAATTAAAAATGAATTTGACAATATATTTAAATCGAAAACATTAACTTTCCATAGAGAGACTAAATTCAACGACTGGGCAACAGTAGGTATTCATAAGAGTAGGTCTCGTTTGTATGAGCTATATGCTATGAAAACTTATAATAATAATTCCAATTTCATAGAATATGTTAGAATTTATTCGAAAATATTTAAAAAAGTTTGTGTAGCTGCTAAGGTTAAGTTTCACAGCGACAAAATTAGACAATCGATAAATAAATCTAAAACTACTTGGAGCATAATAAATAAAGAGTCAGGCAGGGTTAAACCACAGGATAGAGATATAGTTTTAGAATTAGACAGCAAACTTATAAAATGTAAAGATAAAGTAGCCCAAGCTTTTGAATCGTTCTTTTCGGAAATTGCTGTGAACACTACAAAATCATTAAATTCATCCCCTTCACTTGCTATTGATCTCTTAAAGGAAAATGTTAACGTTTGTGGCAGTTTATTTAATTTTCGTCATGTTAATCCACAAGACATCATAAAAGCTTTTAAGTCAATACATGTTAAAAAAACTGAAGATCTCTGGGGCATATCAACTAAAGTTATAGACTCAGTTAT